GTAGTCTAAACGTATCAGAAAAGCCATGTTTGCATTTCAAGGTAGGAACGTGGACATGCTCCATTAACCAGTATCCAAACAATTGCTCTGTCGCTGAAGCTCATTTTCCTTAACGGAGGCATTGTCACAGCAACCAGCATCTTTTCATAGACCTTAAGACCTTCTACAAAATACTGGCAATAAAATCCCCTCAAGGTTCCAGCCACCCAGTTCACACCCCAGAATGATCTACTGCTAGGTAATTTGCATGGAGAGGTTAGTCTCTCAGTTTGAGATATCTTTTTGAGATAAGAAAGCCACTTATTTGGAAATCATTAAGTCATAGAATATTAGAGCTGGAAGGGATAGTAGAGATGATTCATCCCCATCTTGCCATCTTATAGATCTAGAAAGTGGGGTCACTATAACTGAAGAACCCTCAGCTCAGAGTTTTCACGGGACTTGCTCAAAGGGACCCAGCTGGTGAATAATGGAGTTCAGACTTTCTGATTCCAATCCAGAGATTTTTCAACAAAGCTTCTCTGATGAGTGCCACAAATCGATGTGGATGAGGGAGGAAGAAAGATAAGACATAACCCTTACCCTGGGTTACTTCTGTTTACTTCAGGGGTCACGTTGATGAGATCCTAAGACTGGCCCCTTTAAAACCTAGAAGGAGTGATGAGGTTAATGATAGATTAACACCAAGTAGATAAAACTACTCATTAAAACTCAGAAACAGTATAAACACTCACGGATGTCATGACAAAGAGTTGAAGATTGTTAAAGGTGAGTATGCAGAAGTATGTAGGGACTTATACATCCTGAAACTCGTTGAGACTCAGCGAGACAATAATTTAGTCTTGGAGCCAATAGGCCATTAGCAAATACTGCACTAGAGCTCTCTTTATTTTGATTCATTTTATTCTGTGCTCTTAGCCTTTGCCAGGTGCACTAAATATTTTGTGACAGTCTACATACACATCTTTTGGAACATTCCAGAAGGCATATCCTCTTCATATGAACATGCTAGTGGGACTTTAAAATCAACTTTGGAGAATTCTTACTTTGTAAAATGACATTCATTAGCAGTTTTTCTATTCACAATGCTGGATTAAGATAAATTTACCAGTTTGTTAAAGTTCATGATATATTGGGTTGGCCAGAAAGTTCGTTCGGGTTTTCCGAACGAAATGTAGGATATATTTACTATAATATAAAACTCCGTGAAGTCACTGATAACACATCAGTGCTTTATTGTTACCCTTTAGTATATTCTGCTTCTGATCCTGATGGAATTTTGTTTTTCTTATTTCATCTACATGTGAAAAAAAAGAAGTGAGTTTCCAAGAGCACACATGATTTTTCTGTACCTGGTTAGAGTTAGAGCTTAGACCCAATTTGAACTTGTTATACTGCCTACCAAACTGACTTCTTCTTCCTGACTTCCCTGCTTTATAAATGGCACCATCATTCTCCTGGTCACCCAGGGTCATAAAGTTTGTCTTCCTTGGTGTGTCCCTTTTCCTAGCCTCCCAAGTCCTGCAAGTCTTCCCTTGAACTCTCTCTCACAACTATTCCATCTTCCCCATTCCACTGCCACCAGCATCATTTATACTGCTATGACTGAAGTAAAGGCTTGAGGTAGAGGAGAGAATACACTTGCCTTAGGCATGTCTCCTCCTGGGGGCAGTAGAGGTGAGGTTGAGGAGTGGGAGAGGACAAGGTGTTTGGGGTCCTGGGCCTGTGTCAATACCATTTCAGACTCCTCTCTCCCCACCCCTCTAATATGACTTACAGAACCTGGGAAACCTGGTGCCAGGGCAGTGCACTTACTTGACATTGCCACTCTCCTTTTCTTTGTGGAGCATTGTAACAACTGATTCAGAGAGCTCTTTGAGAGGTCACTTCCTCCTGGGGGCAAGACCAATCGACCATTTAAGCATTCTTAGCTCAGCTTTATTTTACCTAGAGACAAGGAGAATGCTGAGCTAAGGAGAATGAAATTACTTTTTCTCCTAAAGAAATAGTTGCAGACTTTGTTGTTGGATTGATAGGGAATCCAGTTCTAGGATGTGTTGACCTTCAGTTGGGATGCAACCTCTCAGAGTACCTCTTTGAATCCCATCACATGTAACCCAGTAAAGAGAGATGGAAAGAGAGACTCCCTCTGAAGAGATGGAGTTTAGGTGACAAAAATCTCAAAAATGTGATTAGTTTGGTCAAAATATGTGTACAGATGCTGATAATTCAACTCTTTCTTGAATATAACCTTTATTACTTAGAGTACTTTTATCACATTGTGATAATCTGTTCACTTGTCTCTCCTCTGCCTGCGTTCAAATTCTGTCCCTGACCATGACTAGCTATGGGTGCTGGGGAAGCTGTTTAACTGTGCTATGCCTCAGTTTCCATACCTACAAAAGGTGATAGTAGTACCTACCTGACAGAATGATTATATACCTACCTAGTACCATGCCTGGCTCATGGGTACTCAATAATTATTTGTGAGTTATTTTACTAGAGACATTTTCTATAAACTTCTCTAGAAGGCTAAGCTTAAATAATTCTTTTGTCACATTACAAGCTGAGTTTAGGGAAGAGAATTTGGCCAACGGCTACTCTTCTGTTAATCAGACTGAGCTGAAGATAATGTGTGACTGTCTGTAAAGAGAAGTGGAAACCAGATAAACGTTTTGAATATTTTATGGCAGCGCTTGAGAATCGATAGGATGTCTCCATTCCCACATTTGGACGGGTTCTTGGAATTGCCTTCTGTGTCCCATCCAGAATAGCTAGAAGTTGATTTGAATTTCTTTCTGGAAGTTGTGGACTATGGGCACTATTTACTTTTTGTTGTCTTGCTTAGCCTGAATTGGTCTCCCTCTAATATCCCAAGCTTTTGGAGCCCATATCCTTTATTGGACATCCTAGTACGTATTGTCTTAGGACATTTTTAGTTGTCACGGTTTGTCATTTAATTTATTATAGATTCACTTTAAATTTCACTTGGCCGTAGCTCCTGTTGGGGAAGGATAGAGTCTTATTTCTTTTTCTCTCACAGGGATGTATAAGAATGGTGAACTATTTGCTGATTGATAGGTCTAAAATTATGTTTGTCTTACACGTTTGGAAATGTCATTTCTGGAAGGGAAGGTGGTAAATAGCCTTCTCTGGAGATCTTTTAGAATAATGTAGTTTCTCACCAGATGGAGGTGATGAAAGTGAGATCTTCGGGGGGCAATGTAATGGCCTCTGCTTTCAAAATCGGAATTATTTGAACTTGAGTTTGAATGCATATTTGAAAATAATGTGTTAAAAGTATGATTTTTGTGTGTTAAAAGGATGTTCTATGGCAGGATAATCTATCAGGGGGTTGGGCTGGGATCAGGCCAAGGATGCAGGTACATAGAAAAAGGTTCTTTAGTTCAGAAACCAGAAGAGAAGGGTAGACAGAAATTATAGGAGAAGGAACACCAAGTCTTGGGCAAGATGGCGGGTATGTTTGCTTGGCATCACGAGACCAGTGAACTGGGTGTGGCAGAGAGCAGGTGTATTAGTTTTCTGTCACTGACATCATAATATCACACATTTAGTGGCTTCAAACAACGTGTGTTTATTCTGTAGGTCAGAAGTCTGCGTCTTACCCAGCTAAAAGTAGTCTCCATTTGGAAGTCTCACAGTCATCTCAGAGTTAGTATGTCCCCAGTGGAGCTCCTGCTGTTCAACCCAAACCTACTTCTCCTACTGTCTTCCCCATCTCATTTTGGAATCGCCCAGGTTAAAAACTCTGAACTCTTCTTCAACTCTTCTTCCTTACAAGTCCCATTCAGCAAATCCAGTTGGCTCTACCTTCAAAATTATATAATCAGAATCTGATTATTTCTCACTGTCTCTAGTTTGGAGTCCTGCAGTAACATCTTTACTAGATTTGCTTCTTCTATTCATGTTCCATATTATTGTATCCTCAGCACAGTAGCCTGCTAATATATAAGCCAGATCCGTCACTCTTCTACTCCCCATGGCCAGTTGGTCCATCTTACTCAAAGTCAAAGACCTTCTGACAGCCAAGGAGGGCAGGCAGGACCATCACTTTGGCCCTGCTGCGGTCTCCAGTGATGCTGTCTATCTACCTCGTAGGCTGTTGGACATACATCATCAGACTCTAATAATAAAGTCTCCCACCTGCTCATAGCCATGGGTCATCCTTGGTCAAGGAAGCAGATTTAAGGTCAAATAGGAGCACTTGGTTCCTGCACAGCCTCTGGCCCACCCCTGCCTTCTCCTGACCCCACTGTGATAACCACCAGAGTCTAAGTGGTGGGACTTTTCCTGTCTGACTCAAAACGTTGATAGAAAAAGATTTCCCCACAAGGTTCCATACTTTCCAAACCAATGACAAGCCCAAGGGCATTTTCTGGTTCCCCTTCTCTTGCACCTAGTAGAGCTAATACCTGAAGCAGCAGCTGGGCTGAGACACAAACCAGTTGTTGGGGTTTGAGGAGGGGGCCGATTTTCTTGGAAAAGGGGAATGGGAGGAAGTGGTTCCTCTTTTAAGTTAAGCACATCAGTCTCCCAGCAGCTTTCTGCTCAAATGCTGTGCTCCTAGGAACTTTGTGCAGGAGATAGGCATCTTTGAGAACAGTTGCTCCTCACTGTTGAATTCAGCAGCTGGTAATGAGATGAAGGATCTAGACAAAGCCTTTCCTTAAAGGACATTAGGGTGGCTGTGGTGAGGTATTCACCCTTGTGCCTCTCCTTGCACTGTTCTTGGTATCTAGAGGGTTCAGTGCATGTTTCTTGAACTGAACTGATACATTTTTAAAAGCTAATGAACATATCAGATGATAAATCAATCACACAAATAAGGCCTAGAAAACGGACATCTTATTATTACTGGAATTTAATATCAGTATAGCCAAGGGAACTGAGAAGGGGGTAAGATCGGCCAGGGGCCTTTCAGGACATCTGTGGTGTCAGTGGGTGGGGTTGATGTGTTGTGTCCTGCTTTTGTCTGATAGGTCATTGCTTGTGAGCAGCAGTATGACTCTTCCTATGATGCTCGCTGTGACGTCTGGTCCTTGGGGATCACAGCTATTGAACTGGGGGATGGAGACCCTCCCCTCTTTGACATGCATCCTGTGAAAACGCTTTTTAAGATTCCAAGGTAAGACACAAGATGGCGCTCTTGGCTTATTAGTTCTTTGTGAAAGAGGCTCTTTAAGGATGATAAATATTTCATAAACAGTTTCTCTCCAAACCTGTGAAAGCCTGATTGTAAAATGTATTTCTTTTTTGGGGGGAAGTGGGGGCAGATGCAGGAAGGTGGGGGAGAGGGTGTTCCTGAAATGTAACATATTCTAAAAATGATAGGACTATGTCATAACAATTGCATATTTTCAGTACTCTAATTTTTTTGACATGTTCATTTTTTGCGCCTTGCACGAGAAGACTGAAAATGTGATGTTGGATTAAGTAATCTGTCTAAATACTGGTGTTTTCTTTTTAAATTATATAATCATGTCTGGTTATTTTATTTTTTTTCTAGTTTGAATCTTTCTCCAGTATGCTGAAAAACTTAGGGATGAAAAAAAATGTATGCCAGCACTAAAAAATATCAGAAAAATGTTACATCAGTCATGACTTTCTCTCCATCCTTTAATTTCTGTCTCAATGGGCAATTGTGCTGAAAGAGATCTATTTGAAGGGTATTTAAATGCCATTTTATTTTCTATTGTCTGTATTCATTAAGGGTTTGTACAAGAGGTTTGGTTGTTTGTCTTTCATCAGAATAGGGCTGATGTTTGGCCTGTTCAAGCCTCTAGTTATAGAAAATGAAGCTCTGGAAAGCTGCATCCAGGAGTGTTGCAGGTTGGGAGATTTGTACTTTCCACATGTCTCTTTCAAAGGAAGGCCCTGGGCCGGCTGGGAGCCACTTAACTGCTTTAACAATACAAGTGTTAACCTTTCCTTATCTGCACAATCACACAGCTATCACAGTCTTTAAAAATGTCTCCTGATTGCAATTTGCATTTCTGATTAGGTCTATTTATATGCAGATGAGGCTCTGTGGCATTCATCATCATAATGTTATCGTTTTATACGTAATCCGGATGTGAACAACCACCCACCATTATTCCCAAAATGATTCCCACCGAAGTCAGAGTTGGTTTTTTCGCCTTTTCCAAAGTACGAAACCAGGTTCTGGTGATTAGGACAGAGCTCCTGGCTTTTCAAATTAATAGTCCTGATGAATGTTCAAAACAGTGTAAGGATGCAGGATCCCAAAACAGTATTGTGCACAGTAATATGTCAGGACGTGAGAACTGGTATCTGGGATGACTTGTGTGTTTTGATTTTTTACAAATGGTTTACTCTTTATTTACTGTAGCCACATAATTTCTCAGTTATCAGAATTAAGATGTGGTTTCTGATTAGCAAGACGTGTACTTTTGATAAGAGATCATCTACTTGGATATGTTTTTTCTCTCAGTCTTATTTATTTAATTTTTAGTGTGCATTTGTGTACAGAGCAACTGTTCAAAAATTTCATAGGGTGATAAATATGAGGCAGCCTAGAAAGTGTATGTGTGTGTGTGTGTGTGTGTGTGTGTGTGTGTACATGCAAATGTGTATGTGTTTAACAGACCCTTCATCTCCAATGACTCCTCTTAGCTTGCTTGTGGTGCCCAGCCAAACCTCTGATATCTAATAACCTTTATACTTTCACTCCCCTCGCTTCTTCCATCTTGGGAGAAGCTTCCAGATCTGAAACACAAATAACCAAGCCCCCTACTGCTTGCCTCAGGACAGGGCGAACTTCAGGAACAGAGCAATTGCTAGAAAAGGATCTTGGGGTGACAAGGATCCTTATCCCAAAGTAGGTTGAAGCTTTCTTTCTTTCCTTCTGGTGTAATCTCCGACCCTTTTACCATCTCTTTGTTCCTGTGCAAGAGATGAATCAGATTGAACTAGGGAACGTCAACACTAGTCGGTTAGCAGGACCCTCAGTGTGATTACGTGTGCTCAACACTTTGCCTTTATCACAACCTTAACGGCCAACTGGACATTTCTGGACAGGAAGGATGGAGGTTTTTTTAAAAAAATGTAACATATTTGTATGTACTGTATAGCTTTTTATAATCACTAAGTTATTTACTTAAAAAGTATCCTGTTAACTAGAATCACGCAGTTCTCTTATGAAGGGCTGTAGATTGACCAAGTGCAGTCTCACGTGTGTTCACGCACATGTGTATACTCTATCTTAATCTTGAGCGGTAAAAATGTATCCTTTCCTCAGAAAACCTCTTCGATGGAAAGTGGAGAAATTTAACATTTACGTACTTTAAACAGGCACTCAGGTTATCTACCTGTATGTTTCATGGGGCTCTCTTTCTCATTCTATCTCAGCATTTCCTTTTGTAATAGGAGAAGAGTAAATGACAGGTAATGACAAAAATCCTTTGAATCTCTTAGGCTTCAGAATTTTTTTTGGCTATGAGTGTTGTCGGTGTTCTGGAATTCTCTTCAATTAAACGATGAAGTCCATTGCAGAGCACTCTTGGGGGCCAGAGTACTGTGTGTGGCTTCCTCCTCTTCCCTACAACCCTCTCCTGACTGGAAATAAATTGAGTAAATTACCAAGGAAGGAAGGAAAAGACCTTTCCTCAGTCAGGGAAGAAGTGACTTTCACGAGTTCTAAAGGACAGGGATTAATGCAGTGCTGGTTACATGTGAGGTGGGAGCCTCAGATGTCAGTGAAGCAGGTGATCACATGGGCTCCCCAGGCTTTGTCATGAAATAGGAGTCGAGACCTGCCTGGATGTGCCTGATTTGCCTGCACAAGGGTCTCCTGCTGTCCCCTCTCTGCCTCCACCCGCCTTCCCCTTTCTTTTGACCTTCACATTAGCAGATGACACACGGGGTCGTCGTGACCTGTCTTTGAAACACTCAGACTCACCATCTTTCCTACATTGCAGACACAGAAATTGTCTGCTGATTGGCATTAGAAGATGACACACGGGGTCGTCGTGACCTGTCTTTGAAACACTGCGTGACTGACAATCTTTCCTACATTGCAGACGCACAGAAATTGTCTGCTGATTGGCAGAGCAGCCACTGTTTGCTGAGCCTGTCAGCATGTGTCATCTTGTCTAACGCCTTTGCTCTAAAAAAGTCACCCCTCTCTGACAGTCACTGCTCTGTCTGCTGGTATTTCTCTCCAGGAGTTAGAAGAGAGGAAGTGAATGAAAACCATTTCTCTAGGCATCAGTGGGCTCAACAACATCTCTCTCAGGACTCTCTCCTGAGGACTGTAAATTCCAAAGGCTTAGAAGGATCCTGCAGATGACCAGGATATATTTTTCACTTAAAAGGAGATCTGTTTCATAGATTATTTGCAAGAACCCATAGAATTAGGAGTATACAATTATGTACATTTCTTGGCAACCAGGTATCTTTCCTTAGCTTGGAGTCTTTGGCTCATGACCTCTTGGACCTCCACAGATGGGGTCAGGGAGACAGCAGGGACTAGCGTGGGTGTGTTTATTGGACAAGGACTGGGAGCCATGTCATCTGCCCATTTATTTGGGGCCACATAGCTGCTGACTCTGTGCAGAGTCTTACTGCACATTGAGTGCTTCCACCGCATTCCTGTGGAAAAATGCAGAGTATTTTCAGGATTCCCAGCAGAAATGTCCTCGGTTGGGAGTGGATGGGAAAGAATGGCTTGAACATTCCAGTCCCTGAAGCCAGTGATTTTTCCTTTGTAAAGAGAAATTTCCCTGTAGTACACGATTTGGGAGAAGAACTTGTGATAATTCCAGTTTATATTCTGGCTTGTTTTCCTCACCAAATTTAGGTTGTTCCAAACTGTACCCAGTGAGTTAGTTTCCTAGGGCTGCCACCGCAAATGACCACAAACCTGGTGTCTTAACAGAAATGTATTCTCTCACAGTTCTAGAGGCCAGACGTCCAAAACCAAAATGTCAGCAGAGCCCTGCTCCCTCTGAAGGCTCTAGAGGAGACTGCTTCTTGCCCCTTCCAGATTCTGGTGGCTTCTGGTGCTCTTTGGTTTGTGGCAGCATAGCTCCAGTCTCTGCCTCTGTTTCCACGTGGCTTTCTTCCCTATCTCTCTGTGTCTTCTTTTCTGTCTGACCAGTAAGGGCACTCGTCATTGGATTTAGGTCTCATCCTAATTTAGGATGATTTCGTCTCAAGATCCTTGTCTTAATTACATTTGCAAAAGACCCTTATTCCGAATGATGTCACATTCTCAGGTTCCAAGGGGACATATCTTTAGGGGACCACAGTTCAACACACTGCACCAACCAACTTTCATGTTCATCACGTTCCCTGAGAAACTAATTTGGGGGCAAAACATAGGACAAGTAGCTACATGATGATGGGAACACAATAGCTTAGATTTATCGAGTGCTAACTTATGTGGCAGGCACAGTGCTATGCGATTCACAGATACAAATGCATTCATTCCCACAGTGACCCTTGAGGTAAGTGCTATCACCAGCCTTTTTTCTAGAGGAGAAAACTGGAAGCCTTGGGAGAAAGTCGCTGGTCCTGCACCTATGGAAGGAAAATGATTTGAATCTGTGAAGTTTGACTCCAAAGCCCTCATGTTTTGCAACTACACTGAAAAGTTAAAGACCTTCCTTAAATTATACTCATTTATTGATGAATTATGAATTCAGCACCAAGGGGACTGGAGTATAAAGAAATGAATAGGGGGGAACAGTTCTCGGAGCTTTCTGAGAGGCTGTTCCTGAGTTATATTTGGCTTGAATAAAATTTTCCTTTAAAAAAAAAAAAGAGACAGAAATGAATAGGATATCCTGGCCTTTGAGAAGCTCACAATCCAGCTTCCTTCTCCATGCTCCCAATTTCAAACTGACACAGTAAACCTGAGAGCTAGAATTTTATTAGCATCAGTGAGTGTGTCAGTCAAGGAACTGAAGAACAGAAATCAAGAGTCATTGTAGGTGAGCACAGGCCCTCCTTGGCTCATTGATTTATGACTCCCAAACCAGAAATCCCTCCCTTCTCCAAACTCCCCTTCAAGCAGCTGCCCTTTAGTTCCTGTTTTAGAACACTTAAGACCAGTGTTTGAACTAAAGAATTTCAGGTTATCATTGTTGGTATCCAGTCCTTTCT